ATGATGTCAAGTTCCTGTCCTTTTCCCTCCAGGGAGTCACTGTGTGTGCTGGCACCATCTCTCCCCCCAAACCCATGGCTCTGGAGGCTTTCTGTTCCTCCCAAGCCCTCCCTCTTCAGGCCTAGAAAGACTCATATTGCCCTAGCTGCTGTTTCAAATCTGGGTGTTCTCCCCCAACCCTCCTCATACTTTATAAGCTGCCCCTCAACATTGTCTTAAACTATACAAGCTGAGGCCACATGTTTCTCGACTGCAAGTGGTAGAACTGATACCTGGAGGTGTGTACATGTTACCTTTCCATCCCTTTCGGCAAAGTTTGGCCTGACTCTAAGGTAGGCGATAACTAACAGTGGCAGTTACTACTATGGTTTTATGTTCCTTAGCCACATAATAGAACACTATTTGCTCTTCGGTACTGATGTTAAGAACATCTAACAAAAGGACACTTAGCTGATATTGCTGAAGAATATGTGTAAAATGTGGAAACTGTAATAGAAACGATAAACCTTCCACACAGGCAACAGAATCAATTTACAATGGCCTTTAAGACAGAATTTTTAGGCAAATGTAAATATAAACAGTGATCTAGTGTTCTTACTGGTCCTATTTCCTGGCCTTCCATCTCTTTGAGTTCTCCCTGTACCTTCCTTTAATTGATGGTCCCAGAACAAAGGACAGGGCACAACAGTACTGTCTGACAGGTCCTAATAACAGAGTGCTTGGGGTAGTGACACTTGGATAGCTCCAGCCTTCTGGTGCTAAAAACAGTAGGAGGAAATCTTTGCAATCCCCCTTCCTCTCCCTTTAGCTGTCTTTCTGGTCCTTTCTGGTTATTTTTCAGTGATGCAGCACAAAGACAGTTCTGGCTTTAAGCCCAATTTATCTTTCGCTGGAATCAAAAGAAGAGGTGCAAATATTATCAAATGATAAAGCTGCAAATAAAGGCACTTTGGTTTGACTGGCATTAAAGAACAGCCTGTCCTAATTTCTTGTCATCTCTCCTCGCTGCAACGACACTTGCATTCCTTGACACAAGGCTCAGCATCTTGGCAGCATTGCTAAGAGCAGCGTTGATGGCAATACAGCATTTAGTACCTTAGAAGCAGCAAAAAGTGGGATAACAGTGATGATAAAAAGGGGCAAGTTGCTGTGACAGATACAACCTTTACTCGCAGACTCAAGCATTCAGTCAACTGCCAAAATCCACACTGTGGACAATGCCTGGATACTCCTGGTTTGTATTTAAAATCCTATCTCTCCATTCTGAGGGATGTTCATCAGCTGATCATATCTGAGTATTTCCTTCCCACTCCTTTCACATACAAGTAATTACAAGCAGATAGCAGACCACAAGGACAATGAAAGTTTAGATAAGCTTCTTATAAGTGACAGTGAGAAAAATACCATGAGAGCTTGTGATGATTCCTGTCTAGGACCTGGCTCATTGTAGACACTCAGTGAGTATGTATTGAGGTCAGAGAGTGGAAGGGAAGACTTTAAAATCTTTCACAACCTATGATTTCTCATAACAAGATGCCTAGAAGAGACTCATGATGTGGATTCCAAACTCATCAGAAGCAAGATGAGAAAAGACCTCAACTCAAGACAAAAAGGATCCCGGACGAGTAACAGAACTTATGTGAACTTTTATACCCTTGATTGATCTCTGGTGCCAGGTAAAACCCATGAAGTCTCACCAAAAGTCTTAGGAGACCAAAAAGCAGTTGTCCTGGGATTGAAGACATAGACAACATGCCAGGCAATGGGTCATTGAGGGAGCCAGAGAAGGATGTACCTAGTGGTTTGAGATCCTGGAGTTTATGTGGTATATATTTTCCAATACCACAGCAAGCTAGAACTCAGGACAGGAAAGAGACTTAGAAACACAATCTGACTCAATAGTCATTTTTTTCTACAGCATCTCTACAGGAAAATTGTCCTGTGTCTGGTGACCTGACTAGGAGCAGACTGCTGCTGCCACTGCTGGACAGCTCCCAGGTGCACAGTTCTTCACTGGAGGCCTGATCTCTACCTTGTACTAGTGATGAGCCAGTAAATTACCCAGATATTTTCCTCTTTGGGGCAGAGCCTCTGACCAAGTTAGGGATTGTTTCTCTCTTCTCCCATTGGCGGATGCTGCAGTGCAGCTGCTGTGACAGCACTCAGCCTGGTGCATGAGACTGGGAAAGTGTGATGCTGCAGAGTTGAGCGCAGGGGTCTTGACATGGCACCCTTGCCCAGCAGACAGTACGACCACTCATTTCTAGTTATCACGACTGTGGCTAAGCAACGTTTCTAAACAGGCTGGTCCCTTACAATCCAGATCCTTCTACTTCTTAGTTGCCCTTCCTGTTTTGTCTTCTGCTAGCTGCTTCCAGTACAGTTACATCTGCACTGCCCTTTACTGTTGCCAGTTTGGATTATGTAGAGAAGCACCTAAACTCCTACTTTGGTCTCCTCCTGCTAACCGTGAATCCTCAATCTGCCTGGCACATAGAGTCACTAAGTATTTGCTAAATAATAAAAAAGGGGGCACAAATCAGTGACTATCCAACGTAACCTACAGATTTGAGTACACCGGCCTCTAACAAACACTCCATCTCCAAACCAAAACCTATTATTTTCAGCATCCTGGACTGTGACCCAGGATCAATAATTTCTTTTCATTGGAATCATGCACCTGATCTAGCTTCATTTCACACCCAAAAGCCACAACTAGGCAGAGGAGCAGCACACTAAGGTCTCGGTTTTCCTATCACACGTCATGGTCTTTAGAATAATTCCATTGCAGATTCTGTACCTGTGAGTGATGGTGTGTGAGCATCCAGCCAACAGAATTAAGGAATGATTGGTGGGCACAACTGGTTGGTAGACAGCAGCTGATGCCCACAATCCCAGTGAACACAGGTCCCCTTGTGGGGAGGCAAAGAAGTCACAGACAGTTCTTGCTAGTGAAGATAACAACAGCTTTCCTGCCTCCCACCCTCTGGAAGCTGCAAAAAGCCATGTGACCTGGAGTATGGGGGCCACAGGCTGCCATGCTGGGAGGCAGAGAGCAGCATACAATGTGCCCCTTGCTGATGGTGCTGTCACCTCTCCTTTGTTCTCACAACCTTCCCCTCAGCCTCTCTTGGGTTTAATCTTTTACCCAGCAGAAATCTCTTCCTTTCTTAATTGCTTCTAATCCATTTTGTCCCAGTCTTTGCTTAACAAGTCAGAATGAAGGAAAGTGTGCTCTTCCAACTCTTCAGCTTTTATTCTAAAGAAAGGATGAGCCTGTCTGGGCTGCAGGGATGTCATCAACACAGAAGGAGAAAAATGCAGCCTTTGCCTCTTCTGGGAGTCTAAAAGAACTGAGAGTCCATCATGAGTTCCCACAAAAACTCCTCCAGTAAATTGCTTCAGAGAATGCCTTGACTCACACCTAGTACTGGTGTACTTGGGGAAGGCACTTTTAAAAACTGCTTAGCCCTACAAGGCTAAATTACCAAATCATATAGTGTGATCATGGCTTATTTGGACCACCTCTTTGCTCAGAATCAGATGGGAATATTTCTTCTCTCTAAAGACCTCCAGGCTCTTTCATTCTCCAGTTCACTCTCAGGCACTCATACTTTAAAGGTTCTTTGGGTATAATCCAAGGTTCTTTCACTGGAGCAGAAGACCCCCTGTGGATATCATCAAGAAAAAAAGATCCTTTCCCACCTTTGTTTGTTTACGGCCTTCTGCTCGGAGCTCTCCAGGGCTCCACATTCCATTCAACATGTGTCTTAGCATGTGCTACTTAGCATGTAAAACTCCTTTTACCACCTGCCCATCAACAGCCAGCATGCCCTTCACATTTCCTCCCCTGGAGCTTCCCGGAACGCGCTGCTTGCCTCACTTGACACCTGCTTCAAGAACTTAATCAGCACATTATTCAAAAATATCCCAGGTCTCCTCGAGACGACAGAGCAGAATTTAAAGCTCCTCTGACTAATTTACTAATTCTCCCATAAAATGAAAATTCTGAAAGCCCAAGGCATCACTTCTTATCTCCCACAACCAACACTCCACAGGCACCCACTCTGGCTAAGAGAAAGAAAACAGCATCCCAGATGAGCGATGAGTACCAGAGCTGCAGTCAGGAGGGGCATGTCCCAGGCAGGCTCGGCAGCATCTTTGAGAGCTACTAGCATCCAATTTCAGCCCTATCCCTAAACACACATTTAAAATGCCACATGTATTTGCCCAGACTGTTTCTACGGGCTCTTCTGACTCTGACATTCTAACTAGCCAAAGGCCTCTCTCTTCCCTTCCTTCTCAAAGACACAAACCATGTCTGTGGCATATACCTCTAGGGTGGCATCAAGACAGTGTTTTGCTATCTTTCATTAATACCCTTTGCTCAGGAGGAGCTATTCACACCAACAATCTCTATATCAGTGAACCTTAATACCATACATGTGTTACATATATTATCACACAAACACACACACACACACACACACACACACACACACACACACACACACACTTGCTATCAATCATTACCTTCCCCTTCAGCAATATTACCCTGCTTGAGAAAGCAGGACTGTCATTGAACCATGTACTACTCCTAGGTGAGTGACACAGAGAAGTTATTTGTCCCCAAATCCCAGAGCCATGCATCTATTCAGAGACTCTCAAAGTAACCTCCACTATATAAGCTAGAGTGGGCTAGTCAGAAGTTTTCATGAAAGTAAGCAGCAGCTTCCTATTCCTCCAATCCAGGCCAAGCTGTCTCCTGTGACAGGCCCCACCCACACCAGTCCTTATAGCTTGGGATTCTCACCTCTGCCCACAGTTAGCACTTCCAGATGAATCCCAGCAGGAACAATGGCTGTAGCAAACAATGGCTGATTATGTTCCAGAAACAATTAGAATCCAATCCAAGGGTCCCTGGCAGGCGCATTGGCTGTCTCAACTCTCTGGCATCAGCTCAGCTCCCCCTCCCTACAGACGGTTCCCCTTCACCTTACCTTGGCACGCTGGCCAAATACGTCACAAGTTTCCGAAGGTCTTCCTGTCTTATTCTGTCATGATTGCTTCGGGCAGGGAAGGTCAGGATGGGTCCGCCTCGCTTATCACGGCCCCCTGGAGGGAGCAAGAGGAGGGAGTTTAAGAAAAGCAACCAGGAAAGTCAACTACAGATGAAAAATAATGTGTCCCGAAGGCCAAAAGATTAGGCTGTAAAGTGCCCAGAGAAGTAAGAGCAGGTACGAGATACACGGAGGTAAGGTGTACGACTTTGGGAAAGTCTCTTTAGATTTCTGCTGCCTCATCTACAGATGCTAAAAATGACGGTGGGCACATGGCAGGGTTATTGTAAGGACAGCAGGAGGAGGCCCTCCGTGAAAAGGAGCACACTCTGCATATGCGAGATGATAAGAAGAGTTGTAGCTGTTCATGTTGAGAAAACAAGCTAGGAAAAGTGCTTGGTCTTAGAAATTTAACCTCCAGTCACTTCTCTTTGCAGACTCCAGTGATGTGGGATCATGCTCCAGGAGCTGATTGTGTGAAAGGCCTCAGAGACATCAGGACAGCATTGCCAGGGGCTTTTCAGACTCATATAAGATACATGGGGAGCTCTCTGCACAGCCCAGAGGCCACCTCTACCCACTGGCTGCCTGAGGTGCCACCTGCTACATCTGATGGAGAAGCACATGAATCTCATTGGAAATACCACGCTCAGGGTCTTACTAAAATACACATGCGAAAAAAACTGGGAGCAGTAAACCAAAATGGCGACCACTGCTTTTATTAGAACAGGCTTCAAGACAGCTACTGCTTCTTTCCTCTACTTTCCAAACTTTCTCTTTGCTATTATTGAGTAATTTAAAAATTCATTTGTTAACAGATACTAAAATTATAAAGCAGACCAAGTTTCTCAGGGCAGGAGTCGAATGGGTTGAAGCTTAAGGACAGTGCTACAGCACACTGACTCTGTACTAATCAAAGGTCACCCTTCTCTGTAGTGTGATCACAAATGACCACCTGCATCTCAAGCATCCACTGACAATCCCCATAGTGAGGACCACAAGGGATTTAATGGGAGAAAGATTGGGGGGCACATGGGTATAGCACCATAGCAACCCTAGAAAGAAGCCTACATTGGCTCATTTAGAAAATGACCTCTTATCTGACTGAGTGGTCCAGGTCCCTCCCAAGTGTGAGCTCAGGCATAATGCTTTTCTAGTCCAGGAACACACAGGTGTCATTGGGAGGCTTGGCAAACAGTGGATCCAGAGTACCCTGAAGAGCAGAGAGACTTCAGAAGGAGCACACCAGGTGGATGACTCCAGGAGTAAAGTGCACACACGTGAGGACTTCAGTACAGATTTCCCAGCATCCCCATAACATCTGACATGATGAGCTATGACCCTAGCATTTGGGAGACAGACAGATTGATCCCCAGACAGCCAGCTAGTGAAGCCAGTCGGTGAGCTAGATGAGATAAAATCCCATATTTGAAAAAACCAAGGTAGAGAACAATTAAGGACACATTTGGTGTTGACCTCTGATCTCTGCATATGCATACATGTGCATAAGCATCAAGACGTAGATGCTCTCTCTCTCAATCTCTCTCTCTCTCTCTCTCTTTCTCTCTCTCTCTCTTTTACACACACACACACACACACACACACACACAGTTGGAGGAGGCTGCAGGGAGGAAAGGATTAAACAAAATCAAGCCACTGAGCAAGACCAGGTCCCTCTCTACCCCAGCGGGATGAATTTGTGCAGATACAGACTTAAGCCATAGGTTCTCCCCGCTCCAGACCTTCCATACTCCTCACCCTAGTTCTTTGTAATGATGAGATCACCTTGACTTCATCTGCTTTGGGAGAAGACTTATCTCCCAACTGTTATCCATGATTCACTTGAAGAAAGGAAACAGAAGGGTTAAAGAAACAGGTTCTCAGAAGTTAGGAGAATCTCAGGCATCCTTCTCTTCTAGCCCTGATCTCATCACCCTAAGCATTTTCACTCTTGGAGGTAGGTGTGTGTGTGTGTGTGTGCCACAACTGATAGTTTTCTCCCTGACCTTCCATGGGCATCTTAAAAGCAGGGTCATGGGAACCTGAGGAGCAGAGATTTGGAGAGTTGGTTGGTATGGTCCTCCTGTCAACATGAGACCAGTACTTATTTTCCTGAGAAGAGTTTCAGAATCACAGCTGGAGGTAAGAGTCCGAGTAGTAGGGGTCCTCCAAAGGTGGGAAATTGCCTCTTCTGTCTCCATAGGTGTCTCTTTTATATGGATAAAGAGTCAAGAAAAGGCAGCAGGATCAATCCTATCTTTTTCAAAATGGGAAAGACATCCAAGAGTAAAGAGAAAGAATAGGTATAGAGGAGGAGAGCATTACGCTGGAAAGCAGGGGACAATGGATGGAATGAGGCCTCACAGAGGGTAGAAGACAAGGATCTAGCACTCAGTTTCTAGGGTTGTGCCTTTCTCTCTATGGCAGGCAACAGAACCCAGGAGGAGAAGAAAATGAAGTCAAGTCATGGAGAAGGACAGCTAAGCCTGTCTCGGAGCGGAATAAGAGATCAAAGCGGCCTCTCACGTTCAAGGTAGGCTTTAGTTACTAAGGAGAAAGCCATGTCAGTAGAAAGCATTCCATGGGGATGGGGGTGGCAGGGGTTCAGAGATAGGTGTTGAGAGGTGGCATGTGTTCTGGGCCCCATTCTGTGATGGCAGAAGAGAGCTATGAAGTCTGTGCATGGCGTGGAGCTGGTGAGGCTGAGAACTGCTCTACTATATCAAGCCGTTCCAGAGAAGAGGGATCCTTTGTCATCTATCTCTGTCAACTAACAGGGGAAAACGGAAAGGTCAAAGGCAAGAGAACAAAACTACAGACAGATACGGAGGTCACGATCATGGATGACCACAGTAAGATGAAGTTAGATTCTGGAGTCGGGAGGCTGATCATCCGTGAAGTTGCATCATTGATAACTGAGATGGATACTGACATTAAAAGGAGAGAAGCAGAGATGAGCATGACGCTCCAATACTGAAGTCGTTGCTTATTCAATGAGAGGAAACATAGGCACATTTAAAACATCACAGATGGTGGCATGATCTTTCATCAGTGGCACCATTCACTTGTGCAACGAGTTCTTGCCCTTTACCTAACTGTGCAATGCTTTGGTGGTAGGAGCTACAGGATAAGGATGCAGAGAATGGGGGTGGGGTGGTTGGCTGTTGTAGAAATGTCAATGGCTCTCTTTCCCGATAGACAGGAAAGCAGGGCTGGGGAAGGAGGAAGGCCCAAAGTGAGAGACATTGTTTCATTGACTAAAGTAGGGGGAGGACCTCACACTCTGAGGAGGTACCAGGCTTCAGTTAGGGTAGCAGATGGGAGTAGTGTGGGAGGGAGACACACCTCAGGAAGCATATCAAAAGTTGGATTCACATAACAATAGCTCTGCAGGGTTTTAATGTATTCACACGCATTTTTAAAAGGAACAAGGTTATTTTGTAGTTGCAAATGCCAGGTTAGACTAGATAAAGTTGGTTATTGTAGGATTTTACAGAGCCTTGAAATGCTAATGTGCTTCGATGCCTGGTCCAAGTCGAGGGTTGGAGAATTTAATATTCAGCAATTCCCAAACTTCCTTCCTCATTTTCAAACATTGCCTTATGGAACACACTTTGAAATTTTGGGGTCCAGAGTATAAAAGGTTGTTTCCAGTAACATGGAGCATCAGTAAGAACATTGGGAAAAGATGGCAAGGGATCCAAAACCAGAGAAGAAAAACCAGGAGATGGCCAAAGGCAGCAGGTAAGCATGTAAAGATTCTATGAGCCTGAGAGGCAGTGGCTCCTACACAGGAGGGCTGAGCAGAAAGAAGAGATATATATATGGGTGCTGTGACTTGGAGGCCAGGAACCCACAGCTGTGGGCCATGGAGCACGATGGGACAGGAATGGGACAATAGAGACACACCGAGGGACAGACACAGCCACTCTCACACACGCCCACATGCCCACATACAGAAGTGGTTGGGCTGCCCTGGCCTATTCCAGATGTCCGTTGTCATGGCAACATGCTTTCTTTCACCTGGCCAAAACTGAGATGCTGGCAGAAGAGGGCGGGCCCAGCTAATGGTCCATTTCTCTGCCTACTATGCTCCTTGCTTTGCTCTCAGAATGAAATACAACTGCCACACTGCAATATTTAACCGAGGGGGTGGGTTCTCTACTTGGTTTTATTTTTATGTTTTGTTTTCTGACTCTGAGTACATAGAATAGAGAAATCATTTTTTTTTTTGTTTTGTTTTCCTTTTTAGATGCAGTCAGTTATCATCTCCCAATCTCCCTCAGTGCCCTTCCCAGGCATGGGAGGGCAACATTCCCTAAGCCCGGAAGCTCCTGACAAGCATGGATGAGTCAGGCTGGGCTTGTGCAGGCACACAGCAGTGAGTGGCATACTGCCAGGCCCCTTACCTTCTCCAGGAAGTTCCTGCCTGGCTTATCCTTGACTGCTTTCATGGCAAACTGCTTCCACGAGTCCCATTAATGGGCTTTCCCAGGCCTGGCTGGGCCCCATTCACATTCTAATTGACTGTACATAGGAAAAATGAGCCATAAACAAGCAGACAAGGGTCCCCATGTCAGAACACACTATGTCTGTCTTCACAGTCCCTGATGGATGCTGAACAAGGTGGTGTCGGAAGCCATGGGCTAAGTCTAGAAAGGCCTCTGGAGGAGGGAATGTAACTTGGAGAGGAGAGGATCAAGGCACCCTCGGGAAGGAAAACATCTAGCATGAAATAAACAGGGGCATCAGCAGGATACTCAGGGTATAGGAAGGACATCATCTTGACTGAGGGCCATAAAAATTGAAGGAAGTGGACTGCAAGCCTGTACTGGGAGACGAGGGTATGAGGCCTGGGACATATCGATGCACGGAGACCACTAGGACTTCCACACAGGCTCCTTCCACACTTCAGCAAGCACTCCAAACCCTAGTGCAGCCTGAGACTTGCCACACGCATGCCTCTATGCTGAAATCACATCGCAGGATCCTCCTGAAGGTTGTTCTGCTATGCTTCTCCATCTTCAGTAGGAGGGGCTCACTACCTAACACAGCAGGGCAAGGCAGCTTTTGGATCTCTGTTGTCTTAACAGCAACAACTGTGAGGAAATACCATTTCACCCACTGTTGAGGATGCATGTCTCTGACAAAGGCTCCTGTGTACCTGGCACAGGCCTGCCTCCCTTCCCATACCACACTGCACTTCTCCTTTCTGGTAAGGAGAAGACAACTCAAATATGGTTTCCCTTTCCACAGAGGAATCCCCTCTCCTCTCTCCTTCTCTCCCTTCTCTCTACTATGGTTGACACATCAGCTGAGTGCCTGTGGGGTGAGTCATTATATATGGGAGCATGCTCACTCATGCCCTGTGGCTGCATGACCATTCACACAGACAAGACAAAGTCTCCAGATATAAAGGCACTGTCTATGAGATGTAGCACCAGGGCCTCTCTCTCAAGATGAGGACTCTGCGCTGCTCCCACTGTCACCACCCAGCTCAGGCCCAGGGTCTGCCAAGTTCTGATCCAGAAGGTCTCCAGTTCAGCTGCCAAGTTTGTGACATCATGGGAAACAAACATTATACCTAACCAAACACATATCTATGTTCTAGTCAAACTATTTGCAAGAGGGAGTAGTTGTTGGCCTGAAGGCTGAAGATAGCTGATGCCCAAATTCCATGCCCAGAGGCCCAGGTACATAAGATAGGCTGGGAGAGATGTGTGGAATAAATATTTGGAAATTACCACTCAGAAAACAACAAACAAGCAAACCAAGAACAAAACCTGAGAATACAAACACTTGAGTTCTATGTGCTAAGGAAATAGATAAGGAGAAGTCTAAGAAACAGCAGACAAAACTCTGGAGAGCATGTGGAGTGGATACTCTCTTCCTACTGGAACCTCTCACAGTGCCACAATGGCCCTGCCAGAGGGGGCAAATCAGGCATCAGTGTGTGAGGTGCATGTGGACCTGTCTGCTGTTGCAAGTGTCCTCTAGAGTCTCCAGGTGAGATCAGAGACCTCTGAGCCTGGCACTGTAGGGAGGAAGAAGCTGCTACAAGCTTAACTGCCAGTGCTTCTCCTCTCACAGGTCCGCAGAGGTGAGTGTGTGTGTGTGTGTGTGTGTGTGTGTGTGTGTGTGTGTGCACAAGCACATTGACACACAGCTCAAGGAACATCTGCAGATACTCACCAGACACAAAGGCCACTTTCTCCTTTAGAATGGGAAGGACATCAGAAGCTTTCAAACCATCATTCCGAAAAGATCCTGTGGGACAAGAAAACAGAAACAGGATAAAGATGTCTGTAATCGTTTAGGTCCCAAGGTCCCACTCTCATTCTCCCAGATCCATCATCTGGGCTTATACAGGTCTGTAGCCCAGCCCAATACAAGGAGCATCCCCATCTTAATGGGATTAAAGCCATTTTCTCTTGGCCCTTTTCAAGAGAGAACAGTTCAAGTCACCCCCTCCCGGCTACACACTCACTCACACACACACACACACACACACACACACACACACCAAGTAGTAAACTTCATGCTCCAAGGACAGCATCAGATGCCCTGTGGTTGCTGAGTGACTTGAAAATCGCAAGATGTTTTTAAAGCATGTTTGCACCTCTAGCGCCTACCACACTGTCACACAGACAGCATGTAGTTCGTACCTGGTGAGTTAGTTCACTGATATCAAAATAGTTTACAGAATCCTGAATGACATCTTCTTTCGAATAAATTGTTAGACTTCATTTTACACACGGGAAAAATAACCTACAAAAACCCAATAGCTGCAAGCAAAATAGGGATGACACCCACCCTCACCCCTAATGTTACCACTAGTCCTCCATAGAATCTCCTGAAGAAGTGTACTTTGTCGGTCTGGTCCTTTACTCTTACTTCTTGGTTGTAAAATTTCTTCCAGGGTCTAGCCAAGTTCCTATTAGGGGGCTGGAGGCAGACACCAGGAACTTACCCAAATTGGAAAAAAAAAGATTTACTAGAAAAACTGTAGCCCTGAAAGGGCAACTCAGGCCATATGAAGAGTGTGGGAAGGGAGGACCAGCTTTTACACATACACAAAACCCCAGGCTAGCCCACTGTGACCCTGGTAGTTAACCCGAGTGTCCCACAAGAACTCTGGGGTCTCTGCTGTGTATCACCATTAAGACATCATACAATGGATCTCACAAGAAAGCAGTTCTATCAGCTCAGTGCTATAGAGCCAGGGATCATGAACACTGTTCTAGCATTTTTGTCCACACACTGTAAGGCCAAGTCTGAAACAAGCTTTTCTCTACCTTCAGTCTCTCTTGACATCATATGAATTCTATCAACAAACCAGGAATTAGTTCAATAGCCCAGGGAAGAGGAAATTTCATGCCCCATGTACACCCAACCAAGGGAGAGAAAGAGGTATGTCACCAAATGCCAGTGTCCAAGGTCAGAGGTCATAATCTAACCCCAATCACATTTCCAGTGTCTGACCATTTCATCTCTTTCTACCTTTTCATGTTTCCCTGATGTAGTGAACCTTTTATTCAGCAATTACATCTTTTCAGAAGTTGACACATGCTATCTGATGCGGAGTAATAGCTGCAGGCTCACTGAGCTGCAGTGAAGAAAAAAGAAACACTGACAAAGAGAGTTCTGACTTCAAAGACCCAAGCCTTGTTTTATACCTCCTACCCTTAGTTTCTTCAGATAGCAAGGCTCAAATCTTATCTCCCACACCAAAAACTATTACATCTCATGAAAGGTACTAATTAGCATCAATTACTACCAAATTTACAGATAGTTCCTATGACTTGCTCTGTTTTTTTCTTTTCTTCCTCACACAGCATGAAAACATTTTTGCTTCTCAATCACCTTTGCCTCATGACATTACAGTATCAAAAAACTTATTTTTACAAGTGAAATATATTTTCCTCAGTTTTTAAAAACTCTCTTTACATCAGTATGAACACTTAATTTCTATAAAAAAACTAATATAAAAAATAAATTCTATCCTGCCTTTTTTCTAGACTATTTAAAGTTCAAAGTAAGCCAGGGCTGTGATGCAGGTCTGTAACCCCAGCTATGAAAGAGGGCAAGGCAGAGTGGTTACAAGTTCAAGGCCAGCCTTGGCAACTTAATGGAAAGATTGGGTTTTCCCCCTCAGCTACAGAGAGGGAAACCCTAGTCTCATCCTTCTCTCTCTCTTCCTTCTCTCTTCAAGGTCCAGGACTGGGAGGATGGCAAGCCATTCCTTCATGTAGCTAGTGATCATGGACTCTGGTAAATGTTAATCTTGAACTGTCTAAGATTAGTAACCTTTCATTTCCTGGGCCAGCGGCCTCCCCAGACAGTTCAGACTATGGCTGGGCCATGTGCCTGACTGTGTGCCCACCACAAGAACTCCCAAAGTACCCAGATTTACTAAACCCATTACTAGGAAGTAATCGTTCCCAACTGCAGCAGCAAGATTTTTCACATCATAAAGGCATTTGCTTGGGGGTCTTTTTAAATAAAAGTTCCCTTAGTGGTTTAAATCAGTTTTTCATTTGCCAAAAATTGAATTACAAATAACTTTTCAACAATACATGCATTATGTAAAGCCAAATAGAGCTAAACTAATTAGCTCAGGGGCTTAGAAACTGGTGACCTTGCATATAAAACCTATTTGCACTGGCTGAAGAGCCTATGTATGAATTCCCCCAGGACCCTTGTGAAACCAGCTGTTAGAATATATAATAAAGGGTACGTTCATTGACAGCTAACTCAAACAGGACCAATGAAATTGGAACATGTTTTCACTATCAGGTACACATCCCAGTAGACTCCTGGTAAATGATCAATAAATATTTGATGAAAGAATAAGTGACTGAAAGTTACCCCTTCCTAAAATGAGGTGCACGAAGCCAGTGGCATCACCTGTCATATAAACACTAGCGATCCAAGTAGATGCTCTCCAGGATGTCTGTCTCTCAGCTCTAATGCTCTAAACCTTTCTAAGTTCCCTCTTCATATTTATCAGCTTTCACAATCAAATCACTATCAGAGCAACGTGTTTTGAAAGGATGTATTGAAAGCGAATTCCTCATTTAGTCTCAGTGTGCTTTGTAAAACTAGAACAACTCCTCCCTGGCTTCCTGGCCCATTCTTTTTTTGGATCAGCTAGGGGCCAGAATTGTTGCAGGTAGACCAGTTGCTGAAATGGAAGAAAAGTGATAGAAGAACTCTGTAAGCACTCATGCCTTGCAGGAGGCAGCTAGCACCACAACTGTTATTTCTGACACAAAGTGTATCTGATAACACTATTAGCCTATGAACACTACACCAATGGTAGATCAGCTTTGTCCTTACGAAACAGAAGATCCATTACTACCTCTATGGAAGGCCTGAGAAGAAATAAAAGCCCCTAACTCCTTGGCAGCCCTATATGGGGAAAACAAAACAAGTCAGCAGGAACCCTTGTGGACCTGACCCAATGTGGGTGTTGTGCTTTCTCTTAAGGACAAAGGCATGCTTGGCTAGCTTTCAGTGCTAAGCCCACCACATTCATGTCCTGCTGCTGTCAGAATTACAAGCCTGCTGTTCTGTTAATTAGCAAAGTTGAAACACTCTGCATCTATTAAGGAAGTAAAAATTACCACCAGCATCCCCCCAGGACCCTTCAGTTCGGGTCTCTTCCCAGCCCTGTGTCTGCTGCTCATTGCCCTGCACCTAGAGCAACATGCTCACACTGCTGCCTGGTCCTCCTCACATTTTCCTCCTCATTGCTTCTCATATGTAAAACACCATTGGTCCTCACTCTGGCACCCAGCCTGTACTTCTGGCCTTAAGGAAGAGCAGGGCCGGGCCTTGTGCCATGGGCCCTGCCCATGGGTTTTTGGGCCTGGGAAAGCAGTGACTCCCTTAAGGAAGCAGAGTGCTTGGGCTCCATGCCAATCTCCTCCAGAAAGCAATCCTGATTGAAACAAACACAGAAACAAACAACTGAGTGAGCATTTGGTGATTGTTCAAAAGTGTAAGCTGCCAAGAAACCCATGGACTGCTCTTTATTTCCTTTTGGTTTTCAGTCATGCTTCCACAATTTGCACTTATTTAAGAGTGACTGTGTAAGCTTTTCAACATTGCTTCAAGTGGGTCTGAGCCCTATTCCTCCACTAAAACGACAAACTTCCCAATGCACAGGTAGGTCCCTGCCTCTTCTTTCCGTTCATCCCATTGTATTCTGCGCAGTGGTGTCCTGTCTCTGTTTAACAACTGGTTGTCCTATTGACATACCTGTCTATCTTTGCTTGGAAGCCCCTGGACACCAAGACCCATTTCTTATTTGTCTTGGTACTACCACAGTCTAACACAAAGCCTACCTAGCACATAATAAGCACTCAACAAGGAGACTCATATATAAATGACCCCAGGAAGAGAGAAACATCAAAATCACACTCAAATCAGTGTTGGCTAAATGAGCCCCTAGGGTGCTCAGTAGCAAGACAAATTTATTTTCTGCAGCAGTTAAATCAATGACTTGGTGTCACTTCAAAAGGATTCCTGATGGCCAGCCTTAGAGTCTTCCTCTTCAAAGCAATGGCCATTATCTACTACCTAGGACTTGACAGAAATCTAGGATCCCAGTTCCCACTAAAGACCCATAAAATCAGAACCTACATTGGAACAAGAACCCAAGTGACTCTAATCACACATTATGAGGTAAATCCAGCCTCAGAGAAACTGTCTTCACCCAGTCTAATCAAGGATTTTGCTATCATCTCTAAGGTTCCCCTGTCTCCTACTGACCCACCATAAGAAGATTCCTCCCCCTGCCCAGGGTTTTAGAGATTCAGGTCTTAACTGTAATCCATCACTTACATCCTATGCTGTAATAAAAAAATTACCCAGAATATATGTATTAATAATTAATCTTCCAGGCCACTGAGACTGGACCATGTCTTGTTTTGAAGAGAGTATTTGTAAACCACTCCCATTCAATGCCCAGAATCTAGTACCTTAATCCATTGCCCCATGCAACAAATATCTGATTTTCACAACAAAAATACTGTTTCTTATTTTCTGAGATCTGTCTTCTTGCTCTCATATTGTCAGCGATCGTATTTACAGATCAAAACACCATCTTTTAGTGATCGTATTTACAGATCAAAACACCTAAAAGACAGGAGAGCCAACTTATGCCTCTCTATCCCAGCTGATCCCTGACCCACAAAGCCTTGAACACCAAGCAATGCCTGATAGGGAATAAAGAAAGAACTGGTGCTAACCCAGAGACTACCACATCCCATGAGCACATGGTGCTCATTTCATGAAAGTCCCCCCAGTGAGGGGGAGACCCACTTTCTGTCATCTGGTAATGTATAGCCCCAAATACTCAGTGCTATTTCCCCCTAATCCTGGGTATCTACCAGAGTCTG